AAGGTAGAGATTAGAATTTGGGGTACTCAAGCAACTGGAATTTGTGTGGCAAGGTTCCTGAGAAGAAAAAAGCTGTCCAAAAGTCAGAAGTGCACATGGGGTTTAAACATGAATCCTTGGCAAAAGGGCTGAGATGGGCATGCTCTGGGCGACCTATCACAGGTTTATCAGAGAGGTTGCTGCAGGAGTAGTTGCTCAATGGAGATGTCAGAGGTCACATGGTGATGGGTGTGTCTATTGTTAGAGTTCAAGTAGAGAGAGCACAGGGAGCACTTTGCAATATTCAGCTCAGACCCCAGGAAATCTATTCCCTAGGACTATAAGTGTACCCTAGGGTAAGGGCAAATCCCAAGAAACTAAAGGACAACCTGAAATAGATCTACCTGAACAAAGAATAAAACAAAATCTGAAAAGATTAAAAAGGATCTGCCAATAATTTAACTGATTACCAGAACAAAAGTGAACAGACTAAAACCAAAATATAAAAGTACTACTAAATGCATCATCCAGCCCATAGCTGGTGTAGCTCAATGGATTGAGTGCGGGCTGCAAACCAAAGTGTTGTAGGTTCAATTCCCAGCCAGGGTACATGCCTGGGTTGTAGGCCATAACCCCCAGCAACCAAACATTGATGTTTCTCTCTCTCTCTATCTCCCTCCCTTCCCTCTCTAAAAATGAATAAAATCTTAAAAAAAAAAGAAATCCTATCTCTTTCATGACTGCTTATTTATAAAAAAAATGCATCATCCAAAATTTCAAACAAACCCTGAAAAATTTTTAAACACATAAAGTAAACAAAAGTGCACCATGTCAAGAAAGGAATAGTCACAAGAAACAGGTTGCAAGAAACCACAGATACTGAAACTGACCAAAAAAAGATGTGGAGACAGTTATCCTAAGTATGTTCATTACATTAAAAAGAAAAAGGGTTATACTGAGTGGGGTAGACAATTCATGTAAAGAAATAAAAACTCAACATTTCTAAAATGTGGTTAAAAGCATCAACTTACAGAATCAAGCTAAGCAAACTGAAATAAAGATAAATTTAACAAAAGAAATGCAACTAGACACAGCATAACTAAAGATAAAAAGAAAACACCCATCATACAAGACATCTGGAGGAAGACTGATAAAGAATTGGACAGGGTTAAGATTGGAATGGGTTGGGGCAGGCTGAGTTGTTCAAGTGCAGGGTACTTTCTGTCTTTATTTAAATTTTGTTAGTTTGGTAAGAGTACATTGAGCTAATTTTAGTTAAAAATTAATCTTTAATTTATATTTGCCCTAATTACTGAATTTTTGGCAGCTCTCAAATTTAGCACCTGAAGCAAACTTTTCACATGTGCTTCATTTGCCTCATTCTAATCTCACCCTAATTAATCAGCAGCACTTCTTAAAAAACACCACAGTTAATTTGTATTTAAGTACTAGAACTAATTCTTAGCTTCCTTCCAAAATAACTTAGAACAGTGTTGGTGAACTTGGCCAGTATTTTAAATTTCCAATGGACTTTAGAAAGGTGTAGGAGCATTTGCTTGGTCCAATGAATGGAGCTGCTACCAGTGGTTAGTGCTCAGTGGCCAGTGCTGCTGAATGGCTTGAAATGCACAAGACACACTACACTGCCCAACAAAAAATTGCCCTTTTCAAAGTGTTAAGAATACCCTCACTGGCTGGCTTCTTTCACTTAGCATAATACTGTCTAGGTCCATCCATGCTGTCAGAAAGAGTATGAGTTCCTTCTTTTTTTACAGACACATCACATTCCATTATGTAAATGTACCCCATCTTTTTTATCCACCCCATCTACTGGTGGGCACTTGGGCTGGTTTCAGATTTTGCCTATTTTTAATATAATGCTGCTATGAACATAGGGGTGCATTTATTCTTTCTGATTGGTTTTTCAGGATTCTTAGGATATAGTCCCCAATACTGTATGATCTCACTCATATGTGGAACCTGAAGAACAGAATAAACTGGTAAACAAACAGGACCAGAGGCATGGATACATGGAACAGACTGACAGATCCCAGAGGATAGGGGGCAGGGGCGGCCAGAAGAGATTAGCCAAAGAACACAGAAATATATATGCATAGCCCATGGACACAGGCAACAATGTAGTGAAGGCCAGGGCCAGTGGGGGCTGGGTGGAGGGAGACAAAGGTGGGAGAATGGGGATGTCTGTAATAGTGTTAACAGGAGAAACCTAGTTCTTCTTGCTGAAGCAGTAAAGAATAACAGATCAGCAAGCCTATTAGCATGCAGGCAGTGTTTATTAGTGCTAAATTCTAATGGGAGAGCAAAAGCAAGGGTGGCAAGAGTCTGGGGTGGCCAAAGGTTGGGTGACCAGCACCTGCATGGCCAGAGGCCAGAGACAGAGTTCTTTGTCCTGAGGAATATGAAAGGTGATATACATGGAGCCATTTTAAAATAGAACGAAAGCGGCCATTTCAGAGAAACTACCTTGCATGTCTTGCTTCTTGAACACTTACACTGTTTAAGCTGGACCAGGTCTTTGGACTGTACCAAACCTACACTGTCTTACAAACAATTGTTTGTACAGCCAGCAGGACAGCAGACATCCTGACCATCAGGACTCATAGTTCTGGACTCTATCTGAAGACAGAATCAGTAACCAATCTGGTATAGCCAAGAGTAACTCAGCTTGTTAGCACTGATAAGGATTCTACTTCCTTCCATGTAATTATTCCTTTCCTTTCATTATTAAAGCCCCTTGCATTCAACCTGTAATAGGGTCACCATTTGGATTTCTGCCTGAATCTGTGCTGCCCAAATTGCAATTCTTTGATCCCAAATAAATGCTTGTTGCTTTTCATTTCAGTGTTTTAATTTTAGGTTGACAGAAATAACCTTGGAAATCGGATGCTACTGTCTACATGGTAGGGCAAAAGTAGGTTTATGGTTGTTTGTATGGAAAATAATACAATAATTAATCAATAAGAACACAAAAATATACTGTTTCATGTACTCACAACTGTAAACCTACTGTACTTTTGCCACACCATGTACATTTCAGGAGAATAAGTGGCCTTATTTAATAGATTAGGCATAGTGAAGCTCTTGTCTATCTTTCTCCAGAGGGAGCTTGAAAACATAGAGGAAGCTGCAATCCAAGATCTAAAATACAGGTAGTAGAGAAAAAGGATGAAAACTTGAAATGTTCTTCCCAAATTTTACACCTAGCAAATTCATTCATGATGAAGCTCAAATTATAGCTCCTCCTCAATACTCCTCTATTTTTGTGTAAAAACTAATCATTCTAAAGTGATGTCAACAGGAATGGCAGGGTAAAAACCCTGAAATATACCTAACCCAACAAAAAATAAAATCTGAAAATAAAATATCTAAAAATCCTATTAAAACTCAATTCATTTCCTGAAATTTTCTAAGGACTTGGGAGTGATGAGGTGAATTGTGGGAACTAGGAATGCTTGGAGATAAAATATTGGAAAAAAAATTCTACACATTTTTGAATTCATAGAAATACTTGCTCATTCCACCTAAAAGTAAAAAGGTTTCTTTTTACTTTTGAGTGACCAATCCATCCCTCACAAAAATCAAACATCTTTACTTTGTGTCTTACAACTCACTTGGGTATCTGGTGTCCATGAAATCTTGGTGCCTCAACTGGAACTTCCAGGTTAACATCTAAAACATGCTGCCCCTCTGTCTGGGATCATCGGGGTAAGACAGAACTTGGTGTGTCTGCATAATTCTGATTTTGTTCAGTCTCAGGTAAAGCAGCACCACCTCTGGGAAGTTCTTCACAGTCTCTGCCACTAGGCTTAGCTAATTATTCCTCCTCAGGACACAGTGTTCTCCACAAATGATTATAATTCTTGGCCGAATTGCTCTGAGGTCACAGAGCCACGATTCAAGCCTTCCTTTCACTAACTTCAGTCCTACAGTGTTCACCTCTTTGAACCTCAGTTTTCCCAACATATCTCTTAGGGCTGTTCTCAGGATTAAAGTAGATGATGTTAATGTATGTTAAGATTTTGACTGGTACCTAAAACAACAGATGTGACATTTATGTTGTTGCTGAATATCTGACTGTGTTGGGGAGAAATGAATTGTGAGATGTATTCCTCAAGGACAAGAAAATAGGGTGTTAATAATTGTGTAAGGAGAGTAAAATTTAATATGTTCTCCCTGAAGGTTCTAGAAGGGTTCAGGATCCCTGGATGTTTGGGTACCTGGGGAAGGGGAAGCTATATTAGCACCAAAATAGCAAATTCTTTAAAAATGGAGATGTGGAAAACGAAACACATTTTACAACAACTTAAAAATTGGGAGAAGGATCAGTCCTGGCAACTTCTGTTTAATGACACCAGTCAAAGTGACACAGCATCCTCAAAGTCTTTTACACTCCCCATTATCCGAGAAAAGAGCAAATTAAGTCCCATAAAGCACATCCTGTTTTCCTCATCCCCCTAACAGGTCCAAGAATGTCATCCAAGGTTGTGAGTGACAGCTATAAGAAGGAAGACAAGTGAGCTATATTTTTAATAATTTGTATTTACATGGCAAGTATCAGTTGGAACAGTATGTTTTCTTATTCAAGAGTTTTCTCAAGGCCCCTTTCATGTCTTTATTTCTCAGGCTATAAATGAAGGGGGTTCAGCATGGGAGTTACCACTGTGTACATCAACGAAGCGATTATGTTATTGTCATTGGAGTTGTTGGGCGAAGGAAGAAAATATAAACCAATAATCGCCCCATAATAGAGGGTCACTACTGAGAGATGAGATCCACATGTGGACAAGGCTTTACAGATGTTACTGGCAGAGGGACCCCGGAGGATGTTCACCCCAATACGGCCATAGGAAACCAAGATGCATAAGAATGGAAGCATAATAGCTGTTAATCCCACAGTAAAGACTACCAGTTGGTTGAGGGAAGTGTCTGAGCAGGACAATTTGAGCAGGGCATCAAGGTCACAGAAGAAGTGGGGGATGGTGTGCTCAGCACAGAAGGACAGCCGGGCTAGGAGGAGAGTATGCAAAAGAGCACAAGCACACGCAATGACCCAGGACCCAGCCACCAGCATGACGCAAATGTGCTGACTCATGATGGTGGTGTACTGCAGAGGGTGACAGATGGCCACATACCTGTCATAAGCCATTGAAGTGATCAAGAAACTGTCCAGGTCTGCAAAAAATATGAAAAAATACACCTGTGAAATGCAGCCTTCATAGGGAATAGAGAGGTGCTGGATTAGCATGTTCATGAGCATCTTAGGGACAGTGACAGATGAGAAAGAGACATCAGTGAAGGCCAAGTGGCTGAGGAAGAAGTACATGGGCGTGTGCAGGTGGGGGTCCAGCCTGATGAGCAGGATGATGAGCAGGTTGCCCAGCACCGTGGTCAGGTACATGCCCAGGAACAGGGCGAAGAACACACCCTGGTGCTCTGGCAGGATGGGCAGCCCCAGGAGGAGGAACTCAGACACGCTGCTCTGGTTCTCAGGCCTCATGCTGGCATACTAACTGGAGAGGACTGGTAGAGAAAGTTGAAGGGAAAAGGTGAAGCTTCTCAGTTTGAAAAAAAATGACTGTTGTGACATAGCATAATAGAAATGTCCTTTTGATTCAGGAAATATCTTCATCCTTATTTTCTTACATTTGATGTATATTTTGCTGAATGAATGCAGAACAAGTATAGGATAGAATATACAGCCACTTTCTCAACGTGGTCCCATTCTCTGAATAATAGTACTAAGTTAATGTTTGTTAAAAATTGTCCTTGTGCACTGTTTTAAGAGTTTACATGCAGTAGCTGACTCAACAGTCTTAAATCTATGAATAGGTAGGTGCTGCCTCATTCATAGACAACACCATTTCCAGTTCAGACAGGGGAGCCGATGCTGACAGTCTCATGGTCACAGCAATAAGAAAAGAAGCAGCTGCAATTTGGACCCAAACATTTCAACTCCAGAGTTTGTCCTCTGGAGACAAAGCAAATGTGACATCAGAATCTCATTGACCTTCACAATTTTGCATGTCATGATCTGTCTAACTCTGCATCCCCTGCTTGTCTACATAATCCATAGTTATTTCTGATTTGTTCATTGGTTGTGGACCCAGAATCTATCACAGACAATTAATACACACACACAGTATAAATTTGCTGATCAAATAAAAAAATGCCACATCCAATTAAATTCATCATGGCAGCTTTCTGAAGAAACTTATATCAGGTCTTATTCAAGACTCCGTTTAAGCCTAATACTGTTGCGGCACCATGTTACTTAGTTGTCACACGGCATCACATTCAAAGAAGTGCAACCTAAAAGCCAAAAGTAATTTTAAAAAGGAATTCTAATCTTTTCAGTGTCTCTAAAATAGCCTCTCAGAGATCTATTGATTTAATGATCTAACCTAGGTTATTAATTATTGAAATATCTATGTATATAGTTTTTAAAAGGCAGGAATTCACTATAACATATCAAAGCTTACTATAAAGCTATACTGATTGTAACAATGGTGTATTTTTACAAAGATATACCAATGATACAGTGGCAGAAAACAGAGAGCCTGGAAACAAGGCATGTCTAGAACGAGCACTTCACGACCACCTGACTGGCTTTATAAATCAGTGAGAACAATACAGGCTCTCCCGCCAATGGCGCTGAGGCAGCTGTCTCTCTTTCTTTTTTTTTTTAACATTTTATTTATTTACTTTTAGAGAGGGAAGGGAGGGGGAAAGAGTGAGAGAGAGAAACATCAATGTGCGGTTGTTGGGGGGCCGTGGCCTGCAACCCAGGCATGTGCCCTGACTGGGAATTAAACCTGCGATGCTTTGGTTCACAGCCCGCGCTCAATCCATTGAGCTACACCAGCCAGGGCCGAGGCAGCTGTCTTTCCACAAGGGAAAAATAACATCCCATCATTACCTTACACCGCACACTTAACAATCTCAGATGTATTAAAAACCTAAATGTGAGAAGCAAAATTTCAGAATCATTAGAAAAAAATTTATAGACTGTTATGATCTTAGGGTAGTAGCACATGTCTTAATCAAGATCCCCAAAGCATACAACATAAATATAAATCTGATTGCATTAAGATAGTGTTTCTTTAGTACAAGCACTACTGCTACTGTAGGAAAGCCACAGGGAGACAAGCCGTGGATGGGAGAATATGTACCATCCTGAGTGAGCAAAAGATCAGCTCTCGGGGTACATGCAGAATTCCTTCATATTGGTAAGGACAAGACAAAAATGCAATTAATATATGAGCTAGAAATTCACAGAAAAATGAAGTCAAAATAGGCAACAAATATATTAAAAGAGGATTTACTTTCCAAGTGATGAGAGATGCAAATGAAAACATTGAAATACCACTGATAAAAATTTTTTTAAATATATATGAGAACATCATGCAATGACAAGCATGTGAAGAAAAGAAACTCTTCAGACACCGTTGTTAAATATTTATGGTAGTTCTTCTATTTGAACATATCTTATAAAGTTGAAGATTTATATTCTCTTTGATGTACTATTTTTTTCTCCATTTATGCTATAGAAAGATGCTCACCTTTCTTCATGAAGAAAAAGATCACATTAATATTTGCAACTCTGTAATAGTTAAGAACTAAAACAACTAATTGCCCACTAGTCAATAAACTAATAAACTGAGGTTAGTTTATTCCTGCAACCAATCCTATGCAGCAGTAACACTGAATGGACTCTATACCACAGTGTCCATATGGACAGATCTTTAAATATAAATTCTGGGTTAAAATAGATGCAAAATTATATGTACAATATATCGTATCAAAACACTCAACAACACTATATTATTTATGGTATATATGTGTGTGATAAAAGTATAAAACACATAAAAAGTATTAAAAGGTATTTAAAAACTCTGTGATAGTGGTTAACCATACCAGGAAAGAGCAGGGAAGTAGAAATGGTGGGTGGAGCATTGGCTGTGTCTGTAGCGTTCTTAGTTGCTTGTTTTAACTGTCAGAAACAAATGTGGCAACATGCCAATATTTGTTCAATCTGAGTGTGGGTACCTGTGGTTGGTAATATATATTTTTTAAACACTAAATAATGAAGATATCACTCTAAAAAAGGAAGAAACAATTATAAGGTCACATTCTCCGGAAAATGTTATTCGGTTAGAAGAGTGAGATGGAGGGCAGAGGGTGAGGTCTATTCAAACACATGAGAAATCTGCATAGGAAGGCAATTCATGAAAAATGTCATCAGTTTAATGTGCTGTACAGCTTGGTAATATTGACATCTTTAAAAGAATGACTTCATAATAATCAATGTTAGGAAGGCAGTAGATCTATTTTTTTTCTTATCCATTTCCAACATTCCTTTAATCCTATGCTTTTCCCGCCAGCAGTTCATAAAAGTTTTACCACTAAAGTTTAACGGAACTACTTTTACCAACCTCTATAGCCAATCAGCAAGTTGTCAATCCCAAAGGCCAAATCTTCTGCTCCTAGGCCAGCTGGTCAAGTCTAAGAAAAGTATTGTCATAAAGATGCTCTAAGGAAGCACAGAACCCATGCCCTGGTAATTCTCTCCCATTTAAAGAAGGGGCGAAGACTGCTTCTGTTTCATTCCCACCTAAACATACACCATCCAACACAAGGAAAAGAAGCAGGAGCAAGACCTAGTGTCTAGAGGTCTCATGACCACTTTGTCAACTGGGTTCAGAAGGTAACGATATACAGCCAGTCTGGTTCCCCCACCCCGACCTGAGTGAAAGGAAGAGTGGAATCATGAACCAACTTAGTTCAGTAAGTGAAAAGTCAGTCAAATGAGAGCTTTCAATGACTACAGCAAAAGCAGCCACAGGTTGGCTCCCTGTAGTATCTGGAACCAGATGTCAAATCAGAATATCAATGAATGCTTAATCATGAGGTCTCTCAGAAACAAGTGACGATAGTGTGCTACTTAGTCCTAGAGGCAGAGAAGGCTTTCTGCAGATTCTAGCACCTCGAACCCAAACCTGACCCCACAACCTTCATGGATTGTGGGAAATGAGTGATGGAACACTTAAATTTGAGATTTTTCAGACCCTCTGGGTCAGGTTTTCTCAGGGACATGCAGAACTACACCTGTGTGGTGTGACTTTCAGAACATTGAGCCTTCCAGGTGACCCTACCCAAAACAACTCCCTGAATAGCCTGATAGTACCTTAAATTCTTTCATCAAGAGCAAAAAGGCTTTAGATCCCAACTACAGATTGAAGTTAAAGGTGAGTATTTCTGGGAGTCACAGTCCTCTGTTCACCACTCTCACTGAGGTGCAATGGCTGGAAGCTGTATATTCTGGGGGCCAGGTCTGGGGACCGGACAAGGGTAATGACTTCCGCAAAGTGAGGAGGGGGTCGGGGTGAGGGGTGGGCGTTACAGGCAGAGTGAAGGCAGAGGCTACAGACACTGAAATCAAATTTACTCTTTCCAAGTTGTCTGACATGGCTGAAGTAGGGCTGGAAATAGTCAAACTGTTAATAAAATCTGATTTTGCTCCAGGTGCTTCCCAAATACTTCTCACTTCTTCCTATAATCTTTCAACATAAGCATTCTAATTCTCATGTTAGGAAGAAGAAAATTGGGACTCAGTGATGAAACTTGCCCAGTGTATGGTAAATCTGGAATTTGATAGTAGGTCTAATGGGCTTCAAAGACTAAACTCTTCCCACTATACTATGTGATTTTATAGACTATATCCTCAAGTAAGACAGTACTTGTGGCCTGAAAATACTCTAGAATTTTAGGAAATAAATCAGAAAGTTTGAGAATGAATGAAAATCTATGGTTTCAAGATATGTGCTTAGATAGTTATATCAAAAATAATGACAACAGTAACTATGTTAATAAAAAACAAATTATTAATCTCATATTTATTGTGGAATATAGGCCAACTGCTGTGATATACACTTCATATCATATTAGCCCTAACAGGACCACAAAAAAAAGGCATTATTTCTATTTAACCTGTTGGAAACTAGGGCTTTCAGAGTATTGGTAATTTGCCTAAAACATTCAGCATGAAAAATATGGACAGCTCGCTCAATCCCAGACTTACATGATTTCAAACCTGTGTTTCTACCTACCATACCACATTTTCTCTAGCAAATCATAATTTGACCAAAATAAGACACCTGCTACTTATTAAAGAGAAGAAGGTAGGATCTGTAATTCCCCAAAAGCCTTTGAATAGATATATTGTCTCAGTCCTTAATCAGGTGATCAAAAAGTAAATAGAGAAACAAGGATACCAGCTACTGAATTTACAAAGACAGTTGCTCATAAGGTGAATTTCTCAAGGCTTCAGGAAAACTACAGATCAGACCATGGTCAACATTTTTTGATGAACTGCCTAGTTTCAACCAATAAGGGAAAGGTTAAGGCAACTATTATATGCATACATTGGAAATAATATCATAGTCCATAAAATGAGTTCATGAAAATCTTATAATATTTAAAAGAACAGAATAGAAAATA